GAGGCTCCCTGGGACGGGGAGCGCTGGATGGGACGCGGTTCACAGCAGCGCGGGGGCAGGCGATGAGTTTGGGGGTGACCCTGCGCAGTGACGTGCGGCGGTGGCTTCCTGGCGTTTCCCATTGCTGAGAAACTGGCTACAATGGGGAGAGACCAGAGCGCTCCAGACCATCCGCAGCACTCCCAGTGCGGCAGCTTTTCCAGGGTGTTTTGCGGAGGGATGGGGTCCTTGGGAAGCACTGATGTTCCATGGAGCCCTTTCAGACTCCCTGCCAGCTCCCGGTGCTCACACTGCCCTGGCCTCTCTGTGGTTTCCTCGCTCTCCTTGTGGCTGTTGGGACCAAATGAGCCCGTTCCTCTTCCCAGGTCCAGACTGCAGGTTCCCCACAGACAAGGAAATATATAAAGTGGCAGCGCCCTGACCTGCCTTGTTCCTTTTCTTGCCTCGACTCTTGGGCCCACCGAGGGTTCCCCTTTCCTTTGCTGGAACCTGCCCTGCATGGGCCTCCCCTTTGCTGCTCCTCTTCCTCACGGTTGCTTTGGTCTGGGAGGGGAGGGCTCTCCCGGCCAGGCTGTCCCTCCAGCTCGGGTCTCGTGTCTGTCCCCACCATGTCTGCACAGGGAAGAGGGCAAAGCCTCGCTGGAAACCAGAACCCCCTGCAGCCCCTGCACGCCGCAGGTTAAAGGCTTATTAGTGCGTTTGTCCTCGCTCCCGGCTGCCTCCAGGTGACACCCAGCTGCTCCCATCCCCGTGGGCTCTCCCAGTGCTTCCCTGCATTTCTCCCTGCAGGTTCCCCGCTGTACCACGACTGATCCGAAATGGCCGAAGGATCAAAGTAGGTGTCTGTCTGTCTGGGTGTCTGTCCGTCCTTGTTTGTGGGGTGCAGGGTGGACGCAGCAGCCCGGGCAGGGTCACCATGGCTCCACCAGCCTGATCGGTTCCCACGTCCCCTCCATGGTCCCCTCCATGTCCGTGTGCCCTTGGAATGGGACCGCTGCTCCCAGCCTCTCCACAGCTTTTCCAACGCCGCTGTGTTTGTTCCCTCCGCAGGGTGTTCAAGAAGACCAGCCCAAACAGCAAGGTGAGTCCATGCAGGAAAGGGTCTGCCTTATTCCCAGAGGGAACAGAGGGGATGTGGGAGGTTCCCCTTTCCTTTGGGCTCCCACAACTGCCTTCCTCCACGGCTGTGATGCCACCGCAGGGCTGGTTTTTCAAAAGAGAAATTGAAAAGACCTATGGGAGTCCTTAAATCTGAGCCTGCTTCAACACACTGAAGGACCACAGGGCTGAAGATCTCCGCGGTGCTAACTGGGGCTCAAAGGTTTCTGCTGATTCGATGGTAAGCACTAACCTTGTTCCTTCTTGGTCTTCATCCTGTGCTGCCTCCAGTTGTCCATTTACCTGGGGAAGAGAGACTTTGTGGATCATGTGGAGTGCGTGGACGCTGTAGGTGAGTGAGACTGTCCCCAATGGAGCGGTCCCCAATGGGCACTGTTGCTGCCTGATGCATTTTGGAGACTTGGCTCCTCTGCTGGTGTCTCCGCTCCCCACTGGGAGCAGGAGGAACAAGGGCAACTCCAGAGGAGCTAAGATCCCATTTTCCTGCAAATACCTTCAAAGGAAGGGGTTGGGGAGAGGGACAAAGCCTGGGCTTTGCAAAACAAACCTGTCACCCTCCTGGCGGAGATGCTTTGGGAGGCATCAAAGCTCTGTGACGGGCAGTTCCTTGCCGTTGCCTGCAGAGCTGCTGGCACGGGTGACTTTGGTGTCTTTAAGGAGCGCTGCATTTGGCCGGGCATTGCCCCCCTTGCTGCCTCCTGCCAGGATCTGACCTTACCTGCTCTGCTTTCCTTGTTTGCAGATGGCGTCTGCTTGATTGACCCTGAGTACCTAAAGGACAGGAAAGGTACCAAGACATAAAAATTGATGTTGTAATGGGAAAGGCTAAAAAAATGGTGCAAAGTCCACAAGCAATCTGGGGCTGTGGAGATGGTAGAATAGCAATGGGTTGTCTGCTGGGTCCCCCACAACAGGGCTATGATGGTTTCTCTGGAGGGGAGAATTGCCTCCCTTCTGCCTCTCTTCCACCTCCTGGGTCTGGGGCTCTGGAGCCATCGGTGCCTTGAAGAAAGAGGCGATGAGCCCTTTTAACTTGCTGCTGGGCCCCTCACGTCCAGGTCCAGACAGGAGCCGAGTCTGTTTCTGTAAACAAGTCCGTAAGACAGTTTTTTTCTCTCCTCAACCCTTTCCCCCTGTGCTCATTTTCCCGCACTCCTTCCCCACCTCTAATCCCACGCGCCGTCTCCACGCGCCCTGCACCGACACCAGTGTACGTGACACTGACGTGCGCGTTTCGCTACGGCCGCGATGACCTCGACGTCATCGGCTTGACCTTCAGGAAGGACCTCTATGTCCTGACCACGCAGATCTTCCCTCCGGTGCCGGACCAGGTGCCCAAAACGCTCACCCTCTTGCAGGAGAAGCTGCTGAAGAAGCTGGGCGAGAATGCCTACCCCTTCACCTTCGAGGTGGGCACCGCATGGCCGCCTTGGCTCCATGGAGCCAATGGTCCTGCAGCCTCTCCGCTCACGGAAGAACTCCCTTGGCTCCTTTTGTCCCCAGATTGCGCCCAACCTGCCCTGCTCCGTCACCCTCCAGCCCGGACCGGACGATGTTGGGAAGGTGAGATGCTGCCCTCGGCCCACGGCCACGGACAGAGGGGTGGTCAATTTGGAGGGGCCAAAAACCAGAGCTGCTGCCATATGGGGATGCGCCCGGGGACGCCTGGGTTCCCTACAGAGCAGAGGGTTGATGCAGTGGGGAAAAGGAGGGGAATAAACCTGAACGTTGGGGAACACAGAGCCTGTCCCACTTTGCAACCACATGTGTTTCCTGCAGGCCTGTGGAGTGGACTTCGAGGTCAAAGGATTTTGTGCTGAAAACCTGGAGGAGAAAATACACAAGAGGTATTTCCAAGGCATCCCTCTCCTTCCCGGGTCCTTGCAGCCGAACAGACGCTGCTTGTCAGGGGTCGATCCAGGGCCCCGCTGCAGCCTCCAGCATGGCCGGATTCGGTCTTTGACCGCAGGAGAGGCACCGGTCCCTTCGGCAGTGCCCGGGAGGAGAGGGCTGGTGGTGGGACAGGTCCTTGCTCCTGCAGGAACTCCGTGCGGCTCATCATCCGCAAGATCCAGTACGCGCCCCTGAAAACAGGGCCCGCGCCCAAGTCGGAAACCACCCGGCAGTTCATGATGTCCGACAAGCCCTTGCACCTCGAGGCCTCGCTGGATAGAGAGGTGGGTGCGGGAGGGGGAATTCTCCGTGGTTGAATTCCCGGGATGTGCAGCCTCCCCTCTGCAGCATATCCTGTGAGCCCAAGCCTTGGAGGGCTCTGCGGTTGGGCTGCAAACCAAACGTACCCAGGACCTGAGATTTTCTTGCCTCCCTGGAAGGGAAAGTCTCGAGCGTGATGCACAAGGTGCATTTCTCCTGGCCCCGGTGCCTTCCACTGCATGATGGTTTTCCCTGCTTGGTGCACCCGGGAACTGCTCCCTTGTCCTCACGACACCCAGCGCTGCTCAGGCACCCAAAATGTGGTTGTCCCCTGTGTGAGACCGAGTCTCTTCCAACTGCAGATCTACTACCACGGAGACCCCATCAACGTGAATGTCAACATCAATAACACCACCAACAAGATCGTGAAGAAGATCAAGGTCACAGGTGAGAGCAAGTCTGAGGGACACACGGACATGCCCCGGGATGGCGTGTCCTGCTGCAAGGGTCAAAGTGGCAGCTTGGGTTCTCAGGAGGGAGAAGCGAGGCAACGTGGCCATGAGACCACCAGCCCACGAGAAACATTATTTACTTAGTACCTGTCCTGCTAAACGCAGCAGTGGGGAAAAGCCTGCAGGAATGTCCCTGCCCGCTGGTGGGAGGTGCTGCCCCTTGGCCACCGGGCTGTGGGGACTGCATGTTGGTGGGCGGCCATGTGGTGCCTGTGCGTGCCCAACGTAGCTCCGTCCCCTCTCCCTGCAGTGGACCAGATCACGGATGTGGTCCTCTATTCCCTGGACAAGTACACGAAGACTGTGTGCAACGAGGAGTTCAAGTAAGCAGAAGGGAGGCGGCCACCCGCCTTTCCCGGGCGCCGCTGCGTGGATGCGTCCCGGTCCTGCGCTGCGTGGACGCGGCCTGGCCCGGGGCTCAGCACTCTGCTCCCTGCAGCGAGAACGTGGCAGCCAACTCCACCTTCTCCAAAACCTACTCGGTGACGCCCACGCTCGCGGCCAACCGCGAGAAGCGCGGCCTGGCGCTGGACGGCAAGCTCAAGCACGAGGACACCAACCTGGCCTCCACCACCATGTAAGGGTGATGGGGCTCCCGGCAGCCTCCCTCGGCCTCAGCCTTTCCCCTTCCCCGTGGTTCTGCGGGGTGTTTTTCCCTTTCGTTCCCAACAAGGATCCTAGCCATTTCTTCTGCCCACTGGGGAAGCAGAGGGGTTTGTGGCACGGACACGGATCCTGTTATCCATCTCGCGGGAGATGCCTCCTCTCATGGCTTTGCTCTCCCTTTCCTCCCAGCCTGAGGCCCGGCATGGACAAGGAGGTGCTGGGGATCCTGGTGTCCTACAAAGTGAAGGTCAACCTGGTGGTGTCCCGAGGAGGGTGAGGAGCTCCCGACACGGAGCCTGCAGCGCTCGGGTGGCTCCGGTGCAGGCAGATGTTGGAGGGATGGGACCTGTGAGGCGGCCCACGCCAGGGACATCCTCCTCGCCCCCCAGCTCATGGGGATGGCGATCCCCTCCCCATGCCATGTCCCCACGTGCCCACCCTTCACCCTCGTTAGGAAGCACCATCCAACACACTGTGGAGCATCGTCCGCTTTATTACAGAGCATTTTAGCACCTCCCATCCTCCCTTGGCACCGGAGAGTCGCATTGGCCACCACACTCCAGTGCCCCAGAGCACGGCCAGCCCCAGCCCGAAAGCCGGCGTCTCCCTGCGGGACACCCCAACACGCACTCCCACAAGGCCCCTTTTCCCGGGATGGCAGGGATGGCCCATGGAGCTCCTCACAGAGGGGTGGCCCAGCAGTATCCCGCAGGCCGCCTTTGCTCCCCTCTAATCCCGTGTCCTTCCTTTTGCTGCCGCAGCATCCTGGGGGATCTCACTTCCAGGTAAGGAAGAGGAGCTGCACGGGGGGACGCGGCAGCACCGACACTGTTGACACAGCGGGGGCTGAGCGGGTGGCCCGGGGTCACCTCGCTCACCAAAGCGCCTCTCCCCCAGTGACGTCGGTGTCGAGCTGCCCGTCATCCTGATGCACCCGAAGCCTTCGGATGGTGAGTGAGGCCACGGGGCCCTGGGGCCGGTGGCAGGGGACGGTCCCAAGGGGCAGGGCAGGTGCTGCAGAGGATGGCCACACTCTGCACTATGGTGCTACCGCGCCAAAGGCCACCCCGTGATGGCCTGAACCTCAGCGGGCCTCACGCGAGGGGACTGTCACTCCAGGACAGACACCTGAGCGTGGAGCAGCTGCCTGTTGAAATGTCATTTCTGCACTAACCTGTGTCTGTGTCCCCCTCCCAATCCTTGCCTCCCTGGATGCGCTTATGAACGGACTACAGACAAGCCAAGGTAAGGAAAAAAAATCTTACACTATAAACCATTATGTTCTCTGAGTGAATAAAGCATACAGAAGCATTGCAGATGGGTATAACGCCCCATTCCCACGGGGATTTATGGTGCCGCCCTTGGATCAGA